CTCCAATGTCTCAGAATAGGATCTTCAAGATTGAACTCAATGTGATGGAGCACAAGTGTCTAGCAACTGCAGCCAGCAGAGATGAGTGGCTATGGCATTTTCGATTAGGTCATCTCAACTTTAATGACATCAGAGAATTGAAGAGAATAAATATGGTTTCAGGATTACCAGAAATCGACATTCCAAGTGAAGTTTGTGAGGAGTGTGTTCAGTCGAAACAACACAAGAATAACTTCAGCAAGGATGCAGGAAGGAAGTCGAAGGCAATACTTGAAGTCATATACTCTGATGTATGTGGTCCAATCCAGGTGGATTCGATTGGTGGAAATAGATACATTGTCACGTTTATAGATGACTACAGTCGAAAGTTGTGGACTTACCTCATCAAGAAGAAAAGTGATGTGATTGAGGTATTTTCTAGATTCAAGTCCATGGTCGAAAGACAGAGTGGTCGAAAGCTGAAAATTCTAAGGACTGATGGTGGTGGAGAGTATGTGTCGAAAGAGTTCGATACACTATGTGTAAAAGAAGGGATTGTGCATGAGGTGGTGCCACCTTACACTCCACAGCAAAATGGGATTGCAGAACGCAAGAACAAAACCATCATGAATATGGTGAGAAGTATGTTGAATGGAAAGCATCTACCTAAAGAATTATGGGGAGAAGCAGTTTCGACAGCAACATATATATTGAACAGATGTCCGACGAAGAAGTTTGAAGGAATCACACCAGAAGAATGTTGGTCTGGTGTCAAGCCTAGTCTCAGTCACTTGAAAGTGTTTGGATCTATAGCACATAGACATGTGCCAGATCAGTTGAGAAGGAAGCTTGATAATAAGTCGAATCAAATGATCTTGATAGGATATCATTCGACAGGAGGTTACAAGCTGTTCGACCCAGTGAATAAGCAGGTAGTGATCAGCAGGGACGTGATCATAGATGAACTTAAAGAATGAGATCGGACTGAGAATTCCAAGAAGGATTCAGTGAGAATCTCTTGTAAAGAACCAGCCACTGAAGTCGAAATAGACGTTCGACAGGAACCAGTTGCAGATGAAGTAGGTTCAAGTAGACCTCGACGAACAAGACACATGCCTGCAAGGTTGCAAGAATGTGTAATTACATCAGATGATGTAGTCGATGAAGAAGGTGAGCTGGTACATTATGCTTTCTACGCAGATGTCGAACCAGTCAATGCAGCTGAGGCATTGAAAGATTTGAAGTGGGTGAAAGCAATGACTGAAGAGTTGGAGTCCATCGAAGTCAATGATACTTGGTCACTTGTCGAATTGCTGCAAGGTAAGAAGGCAATTGATGTGAAGTGGGTTTACAAGGTGAAGGTAAATCCTAAAGGAGAAGTAACTCGACACAAGGCGAGACTTGTGGCGAAAGGATTTCTTCAGAAGGAAGGAATCGACTTCAATGAAGTATTTGCACCTGTGGCTAGAATCGAAACAATCAGGTTGGTTGTTGGTCTAGAAAATATGAACAGCTGGCACACATGTCAGATAGACGTGAAGTGTGCATTCCTTAATGTCCCCTTAGACGAAGAAGTTTATGTTGCACAACCAGTTGGGTTTGTGAAACAAGGTGAAGAAAGAAAAGTGTACAGGCTTCATAAAGCCCTGTATGGACTTAAGCAAGCTCCAAGAGCTTGGAATAAGAAAATCGACAACTTCTTAAGGGAGAAGGAATTTGTGAAGTGTACAACTGAGCATGAAGTATATGTAAGAAGAAGCAATGGAGAATTTCTTATACTATGTCTCTATGTTAATGATCTGTTGATAACAGGGAGTTGCAAGAAGGAGATCGAAGATTTCAAACATGACCTGAGTAAGGAGTTTGAAATGTCAGACTTGGGAAATCTCTCATATTTTCTTGGCATCGAATTCTACAAGACAAGTAGAGGTTTGATGATGAACCAAAGAAGATATGCAGGCGAAATACTCAAGAGATTTGAGATGCAAGATTGCAACCAAACTTCGACTCCAGCTGAGCCCAGATTGCAACTGTCGAAGGATTCAGATGAAGATGATGTCGACCCAACCCAATACAGAAGACTTATTGGGTCACTTAGATACCTTTGTCACACAAGGCCTGACTTAGCATACAGTGTTAGTATGATAAGTAGATTCATGCAGAAACCAAAGGTATCACACCTAGCAGCGGCGAAGAGGATATTGAGATATCTAAAAGGAACTCTCGACTATGGCATTTTGTTTCCAGCAGCTGATGAAGGAAAAGAATGCAAGTTAGTGGGATACACAGACTCCAGTTGGTGTAGTGATGCTGAGGATCGAAAATCCACAGCTGGATATGTGTTTATGTTAGGTGGTGCACCAATTGCTTGGAATTTGAGAAAGGAACCAGTAGTGGCATTATCATCATGCGAAGCGGAATATATAGTTGCTTCTCTTTGTGCATGTCAAGCAACTTGGATGGTGAATTTGGTCGAAGAAATCACAGGGAAGAATCATGGAGCAATTACCATGAAGATAGACAGCATGTCAGCTATCAATTTGACGAAGAATCCAATAGCTCATGGCCGAAGCAAGCACATCGAAATGAGGTTCCATTATCTCCGAGAGCAGGTAGCAGAAGGGAAGATGAAGTTGGAACACTGCAGAACTGAGAATCAGATTGCAGATATCATGACGAAGGGAGTGCAGGTCGAAGCCTTCAGAAGACTAAGAGTCATGATAAATGTAGACAGTTTAGACACAATGAATTAGGTGGTGTGTTAAATATAATTCATTGTGTAAACAAATTTGATTTGATTTGATTAGATTTGAATATTTTGGGCCTTTTATGTTTTGGGCTTTTGTAAACCTAAAATTATAAATAGGGTGCCTTGCTTTGTATTCTACACAACACAACATAGAACAGATTTCACAGTTGCAGTATTTAGCAAGTGAAAGTTCTATAAGCAATAAGAAATCCCACAGTTGTGGGTAACACATTCTCTCCAAATATTTTCTTCTCTCATTCTTCTTTTTTTTGTTGCTCTTGATAATTACTTGTTATTACCATTACTATCATATTGTGGGTTTGTTCATCAATCTTGAGATCAAGATTGAAGGGAATTCTTCATAGGGTGTGAGGTGAATTTCCAACATCCGCAAAATTTAGTTGCAAGTTATTTGGTGAAAAAAAGATACATACCGAAAAACTTGATTGCAAATTATTTAGTGAAAAAAATACATATCAAAAAATAATAAATATTAAATAACAAAATTGTTTAATAAGTGAAAATAATAAAATTAAAATATTTTAAAAAAATAGAGGAATAGAGGAATAGTAAGAGTATGAAATAAAATTTTCTCAACATGAGAATCAAATATATTGAGATAAACTGTGATATATATAGTTTTGTAAATATATTCTGAGAATGAAAGGCTCTATAGCATAATCATTAATATTCTGTAATTATTATTTTTTTAATTCATACCCTTAATCTTTAATATTATGTAATATATTCCTTTTGTAATTCATACTCTTAATTGTGTCTGTTACCATATGATAAAATTTCAGTAGTGTTATTGTTTCTCCAAATGTCTCTCATATTCTTTTATTTCAATAGATACTATTCTAATACTTTATGGTATTGATTATTATTAGAAAATAATTTAACTAATGCCTAATTTAAAATGGTGTATCATACCACACTATACCTTCCAGCTCGGCAGAGCAAATACAAAACTAGAAAAATGGCATTCACACACCATCGTACAATATTAATAATGTTATCTGCAATATCATATCAAACGCTTAGTTGTCTTCTGCATTATGAAAATAAAAAATGTTTAGTAATTTAATCTAACCTCATTTTTCTATATCAAACACTAAGTTGTCAGAAAATCATAAAACCCAAACCGTCTACCATGTGAGTGATAACTTGCTTTCCTTTTGAAACATTATCAGTTATTCAACATGTATAAGATTGTCATTTGTGTGCTTTTATACTCTAATTGAACACCTTAGCTGTCTTCTGCATTTTGACGTTAAAAAAAAAAGTTTAGTAATCTAATCTAACCTCGTCTTCACTATGAAACACTTGGTTGCATGAAAATCGTAAAACCCAGACCAACCACGATATCAGTGATATCGGGCTTTCCTTTTAGGACACAAACAATTATCCGACTCACATAAGATTAGCATTCTTCTTATAGACATGATCCATATATAACCATGCTGCAATTGCACTTGACAAGGGTACATAAAATTGCATTTTGAAAAGGCAACCTGAAACTTTAAAATTCACACTATAGCAAGATCTACAAGTGTAAGCTCCCATTTGTCTATGACTTTTTGTTTATTTTCCTTATATGAACCTTTTATTTGCAAAATATAAGTTATTTATCTTTGTTGTAATAATAAAAGTAATAAAATAAGACAAGATAACACAACAGTTTTCCCATGGTGATACCAACAAAGATGTCACTTCATTTTCTTAAGTTATATAGACACTAATTCATCGTATTGGTTACCAAATGCTTTGCGAGAAATCCATACAACAATTTGCAACAAAGAGAAATATGAAAAGGGCCACAGTCACATACAATGGCGCCTAAGCTAAGACACTAAAACAAAATTAAAAATAAAAAGAATTTCCCAGAATATTAGACCCGTATCAGCAATAGCATTGTATCGGCAATAGCATTGCTCCATATTAGGTTAGTTGTTGAGCGGAGTGACTGTGAGATCACCACATTGAGCTTATAGACAATCCATCAGCAGATAGTGGCACATCTCTTCAGCTCACATCTGGTTTCCGTGTATACATCGAAGAATCAGCAGTATCAGACTATCAGCACCGCCATTTGTCAGCATCATGAGTTTTAACAACAGCAATAAATAAACGTACACACATGGTTTGACGCCAAAGAAGATCCCATCAAACTATTTGGTGACTTGTGTAGAGATTTTAAATTATGAGATACACATAAAACCTCTAAGCACCCGCGTTAAGAAGCAGCAAGAATAAGCTAATCCAGTTAGAGTCACGACACATCCTGAAGTACCAGATTCAACTCGTGTGCAGATTTTGCAATTGATCCTCCTCTTCTACAGATGAAGGGACAAAAATCAACATGAGAAACTCTAAATCATCCCAATACATAATTTCCTGATTATTTTTAAGCACAATAATTCTATTTTTTTAACTCCAAAATCTATATTTATATATAAAGGTGAAACCATTCTAGTGTAGCTTTTTTTCTCTCAATTCTACCATTTATTTAAATTAATATGAAGTAAAACAAACCATTTGTAAATTAAAAAGTAATTAGCATTACCCACTTAGAAGAACCAGAATCGAATAAAACAAAAGAAAAATTCTTCTTTTAATTAAAGACAAACCGATAAACTTAAACATGTACCTCATTAGGGAAGGTAGGAAACGTTTGACTTTTTCGAGCTCTACAAAGCAGAGGTTGCAACGCTCTAGCCTGGATCATATTAACAATAAAAAATGAAATTGTGTGATAATGGAATACATAAAAAGTAAAATAAAATAAGTCAGGAATGTGAACCTGTTCTCTGCTTCGATATCAACACCAACAGAGGGTTTAGCGGATAGCGTTGAATAGATTACTGAACCAAATACTCTGACCAGGTTCAATAACATTTCCACAGATATAGATAGATGTCTAAAATATATGATACGAAAATTGTCAACATAGAAACTAAATCTATAAAACTTACAATTTACCAATGTAATTAAATAAATACGGATTGAAATTTCTTATGCTCATCAATTTATGTCAAACAAGAAACAGAAAAGGATTACATCACTTACCTATCCATTTCACTTTGTAAAAGGTCACTTAGAAGTGGCAGAAGACTTGTACACAAGTCAAGTGTGACCATATCAATTTTCTCCATCATAATGCTAACAATATCAGCAATTACCTGGGATAAATACAATTAAATCAAAGTATTGTTAGAACTCAATATGCCATAAAATAACATACAAAATTGAGAAATTGTAACTGAAAACAAGCAACTCAAAATGCTTACAGCATGATCACCCATCTTTGCCATTGTGCTAATGACTTCTGTAACATCATTTCTTTCCCAGCGTCCGAAGACCACCTGAAATACAATGGTTTCAAAATTCATCAAATCTATCACTGGCAGTAGACTTCACTCAGTTACCAAAATTTCTTTCAAATTGGTCCATAGAGAAGAATCTTCAGTTAAAAGCGTGTTTTTGTATAAAACATGTTATTATTTAGCGTGTTTAGTAAAATCCTTCAGAGGTAAATATTTAACAATTCGTCTTTTAAGCTATAAAGTGGTCTTTTAACTTTATTTGTTGTACTTGGCTAACAGAAATTTTAGAAGGGCTTTTTCGTTAGATAAACATTTATTGACAAATATTGCTCCGAAGACAAGTTTTAGGCTTGAGCACACCAGTTTGTTTGTGGTATACCGGAAGAGAACAATGTACGAAATAGAATATCAAGAATATTTTCAAGAGTATTTTGGATGATCTCAAAAGTGTGATTTCTATACATCATTAATCATTATTCATTCTCTTATTCCATTAGGATTAAACTCTTATTCCATTAGGATTAAACATCCAGAGTTACTTTAAATACCAGTATTTGCTTTGTCGATGGTAGTACATGATTGAGCAAAACATATGTCAATAGTATATGTTATGATTTATTTATTTTTCTTCCACCTTAGCCCATAAAATTTCAACAGATATGTTTTCCTCTAATCTTGTTTTTCTCCACTTACCTAAAAATATCTTCTTTTGTCATAAAAGAAAAAATAAATAAAAGGATGCTGAAGCTAGTCATGTCCATCCAGGTTGTCATCCTACAACCCCAACTTGTTTGAGGTTTAATATAATGCAAAGACTCTAACTCGTTATACAAGTAACAGAAAGCCAATACGAAAGTAATCATAAAAATCACAAATTCAATCACCAATACCTTCAACTTAGATGAACGACTCTGCATTGAACTGATAAATTCATCATGTCTTTCCATCACATCAGCAATAGAATCTTCATCGCTAGCCGAAAATGTGGCCTTCTCAGTGGATATGGAATGTGTTCTCTGTTTAACATCCAGGGATAAGTAAACAGTTGGACGGGTTCTCAAAATCTTGGGACCAATATATATTACATCCAATAAGAGAGAGAGTATTCAAAAGAGAGTGTATTGCTAGAACTTTTGTTGTAAAACAAGTTTGGAAGTATACTCATCACCAAAATGCCTAATGAGCAACACAAAGGCCACATTTCTAGGAAAGGTGGCACTAAACTACCCCCCTCAACTCAACTCAACCCATCACACAATGAAGGTAGACAAAGTGGTCCGATAAAAGACCATAAGGGTGGTAGCAATTAAAGTGGTTTTGTCCAACATACTCCTCACACCCAACTGTGTTGCATGGACTACGCATGAAGCTTAACGATAGATCTAGTACAGATTGTGATAATATCAAAAGATTTTTGGCTTGGGTCTAACTAAACCCCACGAAACTGGCATGAAATAGATTGGAAGGTATGGACTGCTCAAGACTTATAAGCACTACAAAGGTCATTTCAAGGCAATGTAGGAGTACGTCCATTTCCTCAACCCAGCGCAATAAAGACATTGAACCGTTGCATTGAGGGCCGACAATGTATCTCAATAACAGACAGAAGGGATGGCCACAACTAAGTCAGATTTTCCAACAACCTCATCTAATAGAAGTAGTAGACAGAAAATAAAATAAATGAGTATAGAACAAACTAAGAAACAGTATAATACCCCACTGAAAGGAAGCACATGAACTGATGGTGTCCTCCCATGAGAAATTCTGTGTCTAGTATCCTCAAAATTAAGAGAACGTTCCCTCTTTTCCAAATTGAGAAGTGAGCGCATTCTCCCTATATAATTTAAAGAGAATAAAAATAAGAAACCATTTATATTTGAATAATGATATGATTATTAACAATTTAAAGATACCTCTTTTCTGTACGTCAATGGAACATCCATCTCTGTTCAGTTTCTGGTTGCCTTCATCTGTCACAAGAAAGAACTCAAAAGTTAGTAGTGCACCATCCAACAGAACAAAAGATTTTAACAAACAGGTATGCATCAATATATCATTGTAACATAACAAGGTCGGCTGGACATTAGGTTGAATGGGCTGTTTTAATTAAGTTTATGTTTTGTCTCACTGTAGCCTTCTGTTTACCATCCTTTTCAATTCACATAAGATTAAAATAGCTACATGTAGAACTACAAAAGAGAAGCTGTAGGCACAACCACTTCCCGTAACAGTATGTCTTAAATTATAAACAGCATATTATCATTGAATATTAGAATGACTGAGAAAACAAGTCATTCTTTTGCACGACATCACATGCCCGCAGTGGCCAAAAGTATATAAGCAGAATGGCTTGCTAGACAATTAAGGATCGTCGATATCTGTAATTGCAGTTTGGGGTTTCTCTTCATAGTGTGGAATTTACTTGAAAATAAAAGATATTATTTTTCATTCACACAGACATGTCGCACAACCTAAGTTTATCTTTAGCAAAATTATTTTCCAACTCAGACAGAATTCTACTACTTTCTTTTTGTGAGTAACACCGGGAAGGCTTTCTGACTCAGACACATGATATATATTACAATTAAAAGAGAAGATGTCTTTCAATTTCTGTGAAAAACAAGAAAAATACTAGCAGTGAAGAAAGTAATTCACTTAAAAGTTTTAAGTCGCAAGGACTTAAAATGGTTTCATGAGGCAAGTAATACCCCACACATGAAAGTTTGCTAAATGTAGATAAAGCACATGCTCACAACTGTACTTTTTTTATTCATAATCCACCATAATTAGGGTCTTTGGATCCCTGGCGGGTTCACAGGAGTATCCCTGTGGCTTTTTGGACAGCCAATGAGACTAATACTGGTTCGGCGGCGTAGACATACAAGACTTGACCATTAAATTTTGCAACCTCCCGTTCTCTCTTCTGTTTATATGAGACTAGAAATCTAACATACAAGTACTTGAGAAAAAACCATTACACTAACTATACAATGAAGTAGTTATTACCTTGAGTTGAGCTTACAGAAGCTGGCAAATTATTTTTATCTGCAAAACCACCTAGTTCGCTACACTTAGAAGCTGCAAATTCAGTTACAGAAGAGAAAGGTGGCTTATCCACGTCATCTCTGCTGTTCGTAAATTTCCGTATATCCGCTGACTTTGACTGCAAAGATATTGGCATTGTTGTTCCGGAAACACCGACTTCTTTTCTAGAATCAGCTACGGGCTCTGACCTCGTGCTAGTTCTGGGGACGATAACAGGTACAATATCTGATTTATTGATGAGTGGAAAACTTGATGTGGTATGTGATTTCAAAGAACTCCTTTTCTGAGCGGCTGTATTAAGCACTGCTGTTGAACCAACAGAGACTGTTTTTGAACCAGAATTAGAATTTATCCTTTGAGGAGTACTTGGTGCACTTCCTGTGGCTTCATGCAATCAAAGGTCAAGTAATGAGAAGTTATGGCCATAAGTATATTGATGAACAATAGGATCCAGGCGGATCAAAACAAGACTCAGACTAAACAAGCCATTCAATCAAACAAATGCCTAAAAGCAAATGGAAGAATTATAAAAGGAGAAAGGATATATACATGCCAAATATTTTCCTTCCTTCAAGGGGTCTGAATCGTGAGAAATTGACAACCTTCCAAGAGATCTTGTTTCTTTCAGTAATGGATCCGGATTTTGTGAGCCAGATAGCCTAGCCTTGGCTGTGATTTCATTCAATACAGTTGTATTTCCACTTGAGGATTTAGATTCTGAACGGCCGTTTAGTTGGTTCATACTATTAAGAGCATATGGTTCTATACGCTGGACAAGATTGTCAGATATGTAAAAATAGCACATTAGCATCAAATACTGTCAAATACAACCATGACTAGAAGCAAAAATAATTTCTGAGACAAATGCATACCGAGATGTCCACGACCCAGACTCCAACACAACTTTGATTGTATGAACAGCCAAGAAGTTTTCCTTCATGAACATTAAGATCTGACAATCTAGACCAACCCACATCAACCATATCATGGCATCTTATAGGTTCCCAAGAGAAAACCTAAACAAATTCAAATGGAACTGTTACCTAGATAAATAGTTATTTCACATAATCAACTAAAAGAGGAACTTACCTTTAAACTCTCATGTAAACCACATAGTAGGGCCCTCCCATCGGGACTGAAAGTAAGAGAACGTACTCCTGTTGTCTAAAAAACAAATATACAAAATTCTTGAAGATATTCCTAATAAACCAAAATTAACTTTACTAATGTCGACTTTAAACTCCATCCAAGAATAACTAGTAGAATTGCTAAGAGTACCTCGGGGCCAGCTGAACCAATAAGCTCAAAAGTTTCAAGGTCCCAAAATTTAACTGTCCTATCAGCAGAACCTAGGCATGGGAAATAAATAAATGAAATAAAATTACAATTGATTTCATTCACTTAAAGAAAAGGGGGGGAAATAGAAGCTTACAAAAGAAAACAACACAAGAATCCGGTACTAAATGTTACATAATCGTGTGAATAAAATAACCTAAAACTGTCATCAAACAAATGTGACTGCTAGGTAAGCCAAATTGGGTTGCTTGTTTTTGTAAGTTATGTTAGATTTTATTTATTTTATTTAATAAGTTATGTTTGATTTAGTTATTGCATTTGGTGGTTAAATTTTAATCCTCCTAATAGAATTTAGAAAAGATAGGCTACAAAAAATAATGAGGTGCAACCCTTTCACTCACAAGTCCTCTCTTTGTTAGTAGATTTTTCTGGTCATTTCATAAAGCTTGATGCTTTGACCCCGACTATCCCAAATGCATTATGGCCTTAATGCCTTATCTATCGGACATTCAGTCCAGCCCTAGCAATGCCAAATTCAAAACATTCCCTGCTGTCCTAAATTAGTGATAAACTTAATTGGAATTCATACTAGCCAGTAGCCTCCCATAATGAACTACACCATAGGTAATTCCTCCCACCTCATTGATGAGTCATATGCTATGATGAATGAATTATCCATGGTTGTAGACTTGAGCACACTACCCAGATTCAATTTCATTTTTTGAGCTACCTAAGAAACAATTTTCCCTTGGGTCCTTTTTATTAAAGACATTCAGGTTATTGTTGGTTCTAAATATAAGAAACAAAGTACAATTTTTAAGTGTATTAATTATTGAAATTCCATCTATACCCCTTATTTTTGGAAGAAAAAAATTAACATTAACTCATTTGAATGTGTTCCTTGGTCTATTAATTTTTAGCTTTTGATTTTAATATAGGGCTTGAGGGAATACATACAAGCTCTTACTATTTTTTTCTCCTTTTATTTAAAAGTCGTAACTTCAAACAGAAAACATATTGAAAACAAAGTAGCATTTTAATAACTACTAGTAAAAGTAAAACCATATCAATTAAGAAAGAAATAAAAATAAAAATAAAAACTAACCAACCACACCATTACTTGTTGTCAAGGCACTAACTCTCTTGATTTGATTAGAAAAGTAAGACTAACCTGTTGCTAGTAGAAACTCGCTGGGGTGAAAATCTATACACTGGATCTGGCCCTCGTGGCTCTTGAAATCGTGCAAGAGTTTTCCGGCGGTTAGATCCCACAACTACAAATTGTATACATCATATAATTTACGTCATGTTTAAGGGGGGGAAACTCGTTTATAAGTGAAGTGACAGTACCAGCATATAAGCCTACTTGCACTAATCTATCACAATCCATAAAAATATTTAGATAACATATTGCAAATTGTGCACCAAGTAAATGACTGATGAACCAAGAACTCCACAGGATTTCAAGAAGTCACATACCATTATTAATAAGATTGGGTAACTCATTTCAAAATATTGTGATTTGTGGCGGAGGGGTCTTGTCTATACAAAAATAAAATATTAAAAAAAATTATTGTAAAGGAGAGAGAACTAACACGATAAGGGTGGTAAGGTATCAAAAAATATTTATAATAAACAGGCTTTAAAAGCAGCAAGGCTGTTCAATCTTGCCACATGCCAAGAGAGTCCTTGAAACAGCCATAATTCGAACACGAGTGAGAAGCTGGTAAAGAGAAGCCTATCCTAAAGCAAGTTCATGGCAAAGGATTCAAAATAAATGCAAGCATTCGCCTCCGAGCAAACGCACCAAATGATATATAGAAAGCATGTAGTCTTAAGCCTCTTTATTTTTGGCAAACCACTTAAAAAGAGCTGTGGGAGAAGGTCCAGGCCAACTCAGAAGATAGTGTTTTTTTGTTTGGGCTAATCAGAGGCCAGTAAATGAATGCGAGCGTTTCCCTCCAAGCAAATGCACGAAATGATTGATTATATAGACAACACACAGTCTTAAGCCTCTTTATTATTGGCAAATCTCTTATAAAGAGCTGTGCAATGTTGAGGGAGAAGGTTCAGCCAAACTCAGAAGATAATGTTTTTTTTGTTTGGACTATGAAAGGTGAAGAGATAGGAATGAAACCATTCTACTCCCCTAGAGAGCGGTCAATTCAAGAAAACAAACACAGCTATGGTGAAAAGAAAAAGAGCAGAAAAGTCATCTTGCCTAAAGTACCAGGATCATAAGTGGCCGACCATAGATAACAGACAATGACCCCAAACACAGAAAATGACTTGATAGAGTTTTAGGTGTAATAGAAAATATAGGTAAGAAAATTCAAGTGAATAGTATTTGTGAGGAATTTGTAAATGAATGCTCTAGTTCCGATAAGCTACAATACATCTTATACTGTAACTGTGCAGAGCTAACTGCCCATACTTGTAACTGAAATACCTAAATGAGCAACAGACTGTACTGATACAGATTATCTGTAATGTAACTCACTCTATACATAAACATGTGTATTCAGTTGTATCTTTTGCATTCAGAAATAAATAAAAACTGATACAAATTCTTTCAATTTTCTCCTTTTATATTTCTAGCACTTTTCTTCATTATCTCATCTAGCCACCTGCTTCCGGTTATTATGGTCACCTTTTTTACTTGCTGAACCGACATTTCATGTTCCGGGTATAATCATTAGTATAGTAGTCTTTGAATTTGCTATTTACTTTTTGTCTTTGAGGGCATCCATCATCGTTGTGATATGTGAATAAATCTTGATGTGCATTTTTGTTTCACTCAGCTATCTTCATCACATCCCCCCAACAGAACATCCAACAGTTCTTAATTATATGAGGCAGCATTGATTACTTTTTCTTTGATAGTTACTATACAATATACAATAATAAATACTATTTCAGTATTTCTTGGAAACTTTCACGTAGTATTGATTCAGTGACTTGGTAAGCATGTGGATTTCAGCAACCAAATAACAGAGAAGTACAGATATATTTATGTCAATTGATTGCAACAAAGTTGTTATAGAATCTGACTCCATTAATATTATGTTAGGAGAAAGTAATTCTAACCTTCACAGTATTGTCTTCCCCACCTGATACAACCCAGCGTCCATCAGGGGTAAACCTAATTGCATTTACCCCTCGAGTATGGCCCTTGTATGTATGAATACAACCCTTCTTTCTGATGTCCCATATCTTAAGATTAGTGTCTAGAGAACCAGATGCAAAGAACTCTCCAAAAGGATGGAAGTCTACTGATGTACAGTTGGACCTATGACCGGTAAGAGTTCGAACAACTACCAAAGAAACATAATAAGTTTTAGGCTCAACATATTAGTACAAACAAAAATGTTATGGTAAAAATACTGAATAAGTTTTAAGGAATCAAAGCTAAATGGAGAGTAACAACTTACTCTTTGCCTCCTCTAAGTCCCAGAGTTTAATAGTACCACTTGCAGCTCCAGCAGCTACTAACACTTCAGAGGAATCAAAGTTCACAGAGTCTATTCCACTTGAGTGTCCTGAGAGACTCTGCAAAAGGTGAAACACTTCACTGAAAATAAATACATAAAAATATATTCTCTCTAGCCACTAAACCAACAAAAGTATGTAGGAAGATGATGATAGTACCATCCTTATTATCACAAGAAACAAACCTAAATGCTTATATGTAAGAAACCAATCACTTGTAAATCCCAAGAGGACACTCTGGCATTTGTTTCAAGTTTAATAAATCCATTCCCAGGAATAACATTCCTAGGTATCATGGGAATCCTATTCCTAGGTACCTATTTATTATAAAAAGAATGCCAAACTTTTATAATATTCCCATGAATAAGGTAGTTAAAGGAATTAAAAATAAATCTACATCTAAATTTCATTTCCACCTCATGTGAATCCAAAATCCATTTTCGTACCCTCTCGCTTGGGGATGTTTTCATAGGAATGTGCAAACTATTTTTTGCCTAGGAATCTTTTAAGCTAGAAAAATAATTTTTGTAAACTTGCCGCAAACATAGGAATACATATTCCTTACCCATATATTCCCAAGAATGTGTTAAGAAGAATTGAAACAAACACACTCCAATAGTTGACCAATGGGTACCATACAACCTTAAAGGTTCAAGGTTCAATCCCATTGGGTCTGGGCAGGGTAGGATAAGTATTTATCGAAAGGAACAGGCACTCCTGTAGTGTTGCTGTTGATTAAACCAAGAAAAATAACAGAATCTTATTTCTTTGAACTTCTAAAAGGAAACATTTCCGTTCTTCATTAAATATCAAGGAGCTCCTTTCAGCCTCGAATTTATTTTATATGTTCATTACATTTGACTCCAAGCCCCAACCAGCTACAAAAAATCTCCGCATGCATGATTCATATTCATGATAACTTGCCACTTATCTTTCTCTCAAGACACCTAAACTGAATGATCAAGAATTGCTCAAGATTCATAAGACAGGCCCGCGTCGGATAAGATATAATTATTGGTTGAAAAAATATAGTCCGCAGATGCAGACGTATCATGTGGCATATACACTATAAGAAATTAAGAACAGAGGTAAGGAGCAAAAAAAAACTACCATTATGTGAGGTTGACCCTAAGTAGAAGAAATAAGAAATAGAAAATCTGAAGATATGACTAACACATTCACTATGAGCGAACTCAATTCAATGCTACCTTGAAAAGAAGTTCCCATACTAAACCATCTAAACACCGTGTTTCCCTTTCAATCCGATGTTGACAATAGTAGCACATTATGGTGCAATTGCAGTAGGGCGGCACAGAAAAGTAGCTAGCCAACCCCAGACACAAAAGTATAGAAAAAAATGGAGTTGCTGCAGTTGCAGTCGCATTTGTGCTTCAGACTCGAATTGTGTTTTGAGATGGTGGCACTGCTAGGGTTAGAAATTCCCCTAAAATTGAATCCCTACTAGTTACATGGCCATTTTAGGGTTTTCTAGTACAACGAAAAAACCTGTTATCCCTCTTCTCTTCAGTGTGGGTCAGATACACATTTTCCCCTCTCTTCTCTTCACTTTCCCTCTGCCTTTTCTTTCACTCTCCCTCTGCCTTTTCTTTCACTCTACCCCTTCTGTCTCAGAACCAGCAGTTGAGGTCCCAGCCCCGACTTTGTGAGCCACCGCTGTCTCCAACCACCGACATCCCATCCTCTTCATTTTCCAACAGCCATGACAACTCATACTCCTTCTCAACCATCAGCAACTGGTGGTTCAGTAGGTTCCTGTGCGCACAATATTTAAACCAAGCGGTATAATGTTGACATAGCATGGCAGTGGAGTAGAAAGAAGGTTACATGTGAATCATGTGGTTATGTACAGGAGGAATGTTTGATTGGTTGTTATTGATGAGAATTTTTATTCGAGCTATGATGTTTCGTTCCTTTAAGCCTTAAAGGTTTAACATGTTTGTTTCCTTGAATTTTGATGGTATATACATTTATGTTTTGCTTTAGACTTGTGACTTTTTATTTCTAACCGAGAATATTTCATGAATTTCAAGTAATGTGTTTCATTTTGCAACAATTATGTGTTCATTAGTATTAATTGTGTAGTATCCAAAACAATCATATAACTGGCATTCTATACCCTGCAATCTCGGTTTTTAAGTCGGTTGCTCCATAAATCCGGAACTAACAACATAGTTTCGACCACTGGTTACTAGGTTCCAACGACACCAAATGTAAAAGAGGGCAAGAAAATAATCCTTGTAAGTTGTATCCCAATATAATATAAGGAAAATCAAAAGCATGTATACAATCAATGACACAGAATCCTTATAATTTATAACTTTTTGGGTTTCAAAGAGCCTAGCAGCGAAGTGGAAAATTGTGGGCTCGAACTCCAGCCCCGGCATATCATATGTCTCTGTAGTCAGCCTTTTGGCTTATGAGTTGTGCTGCCGGGCCAGTCCTTTTAATTTCTATCCAGAGTGAAATAAGAAAAATACCTAAAACAAACTATTTTGAATGCAACTTTAAAAAGATGAGGAGAGGAGAACGAACCAGGATAGCATTCGGTTTACCAATAGCCCAAAGATTAACCTTGTGGTCTTCCCCTCCAGTAACAAGAACCCTAGATGTTTTTCTTCCAATCTTGAGGCAATTAACAGCAGAAGCATGTGCTACAAACTCCTCTAAACACAACACGTCAAGGCCAGCAATAATTGAGAAAAAAATCTAAACACAAATGCGTAAATTAAACCAAACAAAATGTAAGAAATGAAGGATACGGAGTTTGTAGGCACGTTTGGTAGTCATCGGTAGTAATAAGCAGTACAGAAACCAAAAACCCTATAAATTCCAGTTGCAACAGAAACTCAAGCTCTCTGTTTGAGGCATTCGACTCCACAGATCTAATTTTGTCCTCTAAAATTCCCAGATCCAACCAATGTGAGTTGATCCTGACAAATTTTCAAGTGAATAGTTGCAAAAAGCTAACCTAACCTAATCAAAATGCAAAACAAGAGAACGTGTGAAACCTAACCTAACCTGTAGTAGTATTATTCACCGTAAAGCTACAGATTCTTGCTTCAGAACTTGAACACGTACACTTTTGCCTACTCTTGTTGCAGATTTCGTGCAGAACACACACAAGCAAAGCAAAGTGTGAAGCGTTGTTAAGCATTAAGACATTTAGAGCAGCGAAGCGTGCCGGTAACAATGGCGGCGACGTTTGAAATTCGTCCTCCTCTGTTGGTGGTGGTATGAATCCAACAGCAGAGGATCTATCGGTAAAAGAGAGCAAACCCCAATCCCGACGAAGAAGAAAGTAAAGAGGCGCTTTCACGATCTGCGACTGTCCCTCAGTAATGATAATGCTTGCTTATGTTCAAATTAATCTATCACTGTGAGGGTGGGAAGGTTCAAAATATAAAAAGTAACAGAAATCACAAAAGTTTGTAAATCTATATAAAAGCTGTTGTTGCCATTTCTTTTATTATAAAATTTCTTTGACTAAGCTTACTAAAAATATATTTTAAAAAATTGCACACTATAAGTCTATTTCTGCATGTACAAGTCAATTATTATTAATGAAACAAATAGTTTAAAATATAAATATGAAAATTATATATATATATATATATATATATATATATATATATATATATATATATATATATATATATATATATATATATAATTAGTGTTGTTATGGGCCGGTGATATCAATCTTGCAACTATCATGAACAGAAAATTAACATCTGAATGAATACAAATGATCTCAAATTTAAGTGTGGCACTCTCCAATTCACTCTTGACAAATAGCAAGTTCGGTACTCTCTTTATATATATATATATATATATATATATATATATATATATATATATATATATATATATATATATATATATATATATATATATATATATATATATATATATATATATATAGAGAGAGAGAGAGAGAGAGAGAGAGAGAGAGAGAGAGGGGGAGGGAAGGAAGGCGTCAAATTGAGGTAACAAGTCTCAAATTCAATTTCACTTTATTCTTCTTTTCCACGTACTAACTTGGGCATTTAAGTGTTAATCTTGCATGTCCTCCCACGTCATTAGAACCTTACTAGTTAAGCCATTGTCACCGCCATTTCTCAACTCATTTCTGGTTTCCGAACTGAATAGCGACGTCGTCTACGGGAATCAAACATTCTAAATCAAATTTAAAGTTTCATCGCATTTACATTCAATCAAGCATCATCTTAACTTTGGTTCCTTGATTTTCTAGATCTCTGATTTATACGACTTCTAGTGATGGTTGGATCTAGAGTTACTCGATCATTCTCAATGCACGAAGTCAACGCTACGTCCGAGGCAGTTGTTATTGCTATAACATCGATTGATCAACCATTTCTCCCTCCTCCACAAGGCATCACAAATCTTGGAGCGACAATTTCATTGCATTCAGATTTGGTCCAGGCTCCACATATAACTAGATATGTTCAAGTTACTCTAATTAATCATATTCTTTGGCCTACAGTTTTTCTATCGGAAGCCTTGCATGGCCTACGGATGTTGCAAGCAAACCTCGGAGTGCAAGGTACCAACGAAGTGTTGAACAAAGTGTATAACATCGCTTGACAGAAAAATTCAAATGCACTCAAAAGAAGGTTATAGTGCCTTGTAGAAAACCTCCACCTCGCAGAAACATCGTTCAAGAGGTAGCGTCAAAAATGACCTTATATCTGTGGTGAAGAAAGATAAAGTTTTTCGATCAAGAGATGAGTATAAGAGCATGAAGCATCAGACTCCTTCCTATAGCCTCAGAAGGGACCATGGTAGTCACACTCCTTCCCCAACTCAAGTAAAGAGACGGTTGGGAAAGGTGCATCTGAAGCATCCACTGGTTGTGAGGTTTTTGGAAAGCAAGATACCAAAGTCCATGGAGAAGTCGCCCAAGCTGGGCGGATATGATGGAAATAAAGACCCCGACGAGCATGTGCAACATGTCAATTACCGACTAAATTACATCAACATTGATGATATATATAAGTGCAAGATATTTGCATTAACTCTTATAAGATTGGATAGATCATGGTTTAACAGCATGCGAGACGGTAGCATTGCATCATGGACGGATTTTTGTGAGCGGTTATTTACACGTTTCACATCCTGGAAGAAATGGCCTATGACTGAAGTCGTTATGAGTGGGATCGTCCAAGGAAATAAGGAAATTTTATGGCTTTACATATACTAGTTCACACAAGTTATTGTTAAGGTCAATGGGGTCGGAAAAGGCCTTTAGTATTGGATCTTCGAGAATGGCCTCTTGAGGGACCATCCCTTCAAGTCGAAAATAAGGAGGAAGAAAGTGAAGACCATCAAATAGATGCTTACCATGATTGAGTCGTACATGCTCCTAGAGGAGAAATTGAGTATGCATTTCGATAATCTTACGTCAGCTGAAACCCATTTCAGTCGCCCGGCCGAGAAGGGATCCCATCGTCTCTGAGATGAATATGACTGAGGTATGCATGGACGGTATGACAATTACACCCCTCTGATAGTCTCTTTGGGAAAAGATCCATCAAGATTGCGCCAACCCCCATTAGGGAAATATCTCATAATGATAAAATAAAGTATTGTTGCTTCCATGAGAGTCATAGCCACAACACTAACGATTGCATCTAACTGAAGGATGTCATTGAAGGACCAGCTAAAAAAGTTTGGTTGACCGAGTATGTCAAATAGGGAAAAGAGATAGGGAGGAATCACCTGAAGGAAAATCCCCCTTGAAGTTTGCAGAGGTCGGGACTAACGGGGGAAGTATGGAGGCTAATAAAAGGAAAGCTCTTGTACATAGGGATGATGAAGAAAAAGATTATTGAGATGATGGTTGTCTACATAAAGGATGCAAGTACATCGACAAAGGTTCCTGATCGGCCCATGTTGGAGTTCTGGGACTCAGAGAAAGTCTAAGGTGTCCCAAAATAATTCCTCTAGTAATCACTACCACAATAGGGGATTTTCACGTCTCTCGGGTCCTCATAAATGATGGCATCTTCTACAACATTATGTACTCGAAGTTGTTTGAGAAGATGGGCCTTGACAGGGGAAATTTATGGTCAAATGAAGGTTCTGACCTCGATGCATTCAGTGGAACCACCACTCGTCCATGGGGATGTGTGGAACTGATGGTCTCCTTATACGATGGGAAGGACATTCAGATGGTCAATTCACAATTCCTTGTTGTCCCCTGAAGAAGTGTCTATAATCGTATCCTAGGGAGACCGTTTATAGTCACACTAGTGGTTATAGTCGCCTCCCCAATTTACCTAAAACTGAAGCATCACAATCTCTATGGAAAATTGACCACCATCAGAGTCGACCTATATGGGGCAAAAAGAATCTACTAATCCTTTTAGAAAGATCAAGGAGAAGGTGTGCCCATGGATATCAATGTATATTCCTTCTTTAGACTATTAAGTAGGATGGACATCTCTCCTCCCAAAAGTGGATAGACCAACAGAGGCTCACAAAAGGAATAAGTGACTACTAGCCTACTTGGTTATATTTTCTCTGCCTCACTTATATTAAATATTTTAATTGTATAATCATCCTTCTTATGAACATGGATATTTTATGGTTATAAATGGAAATGTCACTTTCTAAAATGTTTGTTTCTTTCTATTTTATTCATTTTGACGATAGGTCCGGGTACGACCTATGAGCTTGAGGCCTAGTACACCATAAGACAGGGGGTTGCCAGAGACACTTTATACGGTTACAGCAAATAATTTCTCACACAAAGTCATGGTTGATGTTAGAGATGTTTTATACACCTGGCTACAATAATGAGTTCCCCACCTAAAGTCAGGGGCGTTGTCAGAAACACTTTGTATGTCTGGCTACAACAATTAATTCCCCGCTTAAAGTCATGAGTATTGGCAGAGACATTTTGCACATCTGACAACTACAATCAATTCCTCACATGTAATAACGACTAACCCCCTCTAGTAGGCAGTCACTCTAGAGATAGTGATGGGCTGTTCATATGTCTATCCCTGACCAGGTTTTCATCTAATAGTGGGGGGACTGACCTTTGGCCAGGATCGGCTCTAGTGACATCCAGTTAACTTCGAGGGAATATCATATAAGTTCATAAAGATCTAGAGTTATGCACTCGGGATCCTACAAACGCACCTTTAACGGGTAAAAAAACATTTCATTCAAAAAATAATAGTATATACACACATATGCTTCCATTGCAAGTACTTTAAATTGAGTATAAAAAAGACTTTGGGGTGACTTACAGGTCCACTTTCGCAGAGAAACGATATTTCCATCTTTTACCACTTAATCTGACCAAATTTGCTTCCTAAAGATAGTCATAGGACGGTAGAAATGTTATACTTGCTGCAAAGAATTCTCAAACAACTACAAATTATCTCAAGGGTAGAGCTTATATAGTCAGCCAATTATTGAGTCACCAAAGTGTTATGAAGGCATAAATACTTTAGTTCCCTTTGAGCAGATGTCAGGCTGATGCAGACAAAAGTCAGAGCATGGTTCTTCTTTGTCATGGTCTTCACCAAATGAGTCACATGGTCGGCAAGAGATTCAGCAAGATTAAAAGGGAGTAAAACATCACTCACCCTGGTAAGATAGGTGTAAGATTTCTTTATTTCATGTAGGTAGCTATCCTGATGAAGCTTCAGATCACAAATGCTTTCCTCCAGTTGTTGCTTCTCAACACGGTGTTGGTCAGACCAAATAGACTCATAATGACCATATTCGTTGAGGGCTAAAGTAGCAGAAGCATG